ACAAATAAATTTAAGAGGACAATAAATTTAATCATCTAAAATTTTAAATTAAAAATATTGTGTAGACAAAGTCCAATTTCCCCAACATCCATAATGTAACGGTGTCTCGAGTTACATCATAAATTTATGTAATTTTAGGTATACCGGTTGCCAAAATGGCCCGACTCGGACCGAAACATCGATCTATATTTGGCCCGAAAAAGCCCGATTCGATAAAAATGAGGCCCGAAAAAATGACTCGACAGTCGGTCCGACTCGAAAACGGCGACATTATATACCATATCAAATTTCCCCGAAAATCCCCAAAATTTTTATTTTCTTTATCTCAAAAAGGAGAAATCAACTCGGATGATCTCAACAGAATTTAATTATAGGATCATTAGCGATTCACACTTTAATTCTCTATAATATCATTTTTATTTAATCTTATTATCTCAATTTTGAATAATGTTATATTTCTAAAAAAATACGGGAACCTTAAAGCCACTCCGTATAATTAATTGATAGAACAAAAAGAATTTAATTTTTGTATTAATCTCATTAAAAAATTTAAGATTAAAGAGAATGTTAAGAAACTGAGATGACTTAACATTAAATAAGGTACAGAATTGTACAGACTAATCATAACCTTTGAGAAGCAATTTACTAAAGTAAAAGTGCAAATATGGCAAAATGTGAAATTTCTTTAGTGTTTTTCAAAGAAATATTAAAATAATTGAACAAATTTGAACAAAATATATTATTTAACTAATTCATTTAAATCATGGGTAGGCTTGTCGGCTCCTGGAAATTCTTCGGATATCCGAAAACAAACTGAAGAATCGAACCTAAAAATCCTCGGTTCTTTGGTTCGGTCCAGAACCGACAACCCTACGCATTAGGCTTAAAGCAACAGGTTAAAGTTAAAAGGCCATAGGCTTAAATTAACAGAGGGCTGAACAATAAGACGGAAGTTAAGGAAGTTGAACTTGAAATAAGAAAACATTAATCAAAAATCAATTAATAATTCGACACTTAGAAAATATGGGGAAGATATTGAGAATGAACAATCCTTTTCGAAATTGAATCTGACTAGAAGCCACGATAGAAAATTTCAGGACTCGTAAAATAAATTTGAAATCCGGAACCAGAATCAGCCATTTTAGAAATTTTAAATTCTAATAATTTAAATTCTAATTAAAAATTTTGGCAGGAATTTCCTTAGACTCATTGGAAATCTTTCATGGAATTCTTAATTTTGGCTTTCTAAAATTCTCGAAATATTCTTTATCTAACGCTTTGAATAAATTTTCGATATTTATCGCTACAGTTAAATTTTGAAAATTTTGAAATACCTTTCTCCTTCAATGAAAAATTTCGTTTATTTATTTTCATAAAAATTATTCTTTTTTTTATATTATTTTATATTATCATCAAACAAGATCATATTTCTGTTTATTTACATTTATTTGTTAACTTTTGAATTTATAAAAATTTTGCAAAAACATTTTATTTGATAAAATATTGTATAATAGGTAATATTTTAAGATAGATGCTACAACTTTAAAAGAACTACTACACTTTTAATTAATCTAAATATTTAATTCAGTAATCTATTTCGCTTAATTTAATTTTGCAAATTGTAAATCGAATAAATTGTTAAAACCAAAAGCTGTATCAGATGCTCGAACGCCTAAATATTTAATTTAAAAAATATTTAGAAGAATGAAGTTAAAATTTACGTTTAGCTGATGACTTTATAGGTGCACATTTATTTTGAACCAAGCAATCAACAACCGAGCTTTAATTTTAATTTTTTATTTTATTAAAGTATTATAAAATTGACTTTTAAAATATTTTTGTTAAATGATAGGAGTATCCCCTGGAGGGATATTTAGGGTACGGACTAGGATACCTTTTTTTCTTTCCCTAATGCCTTACCTTATATGGAAATAATGGTCAGACTTTCTTCACTGTTCAATTTCGCTCTATTTTCCTGTGGCGAATTCATAGAAAAGAAAAACTTGGGAAGGAAAAATGGGAACCTTAATCCCGGAGTGATCCGATATTTCATGGAGAAATTAAACGGATATTAAGAATAATATTTAAATCCTTCTCATATTAAAAAATCTAGCCAGGACGGTCCGTTATTATCTTTTTGGTTTTTCGTTAAGAATAAAATATCTTAAATTTTTCAGTTTTTGTTAATCTATTTTAAACATATTATTTTATGATTAAAAAAATAATCTGTATATTTAAACTCTTACTCAAAGCAAGAGCAGATACCAATTTCACAATCATTTTTCGTTGAAGAACATTTAGAATACATTTTGGAACACGGTCTTTCAATAGGATTTGTTGGGTAATTTTCTTTTGTACACGTTCCTGCAGCTACTAATGCTTTTAGACATGTAGGAAAATCAGTTGATAAACATCTAAAATTTATTGAATAATTCGTCACCTTGATTTTAGATGGGGACCTTGGCCAGATTCTTGGCCTTTAATCAAAGAAAAATCAGGGAACACTGAAAAGTGCCTTGATTTGGACTCTGGAACAGATCCAGACATATCTCTAGCTTATTCGTATTAATCACCATCTGAACTTGTTCATTATTTGAATACCAGTATTTATTTGATATTTTTGTAATTATGATTTTTGGAAAGTCACTTTGATAGAGATTTTGAAGAAATTTCAAAAGATATACAAATTTTGAATCCCAGTGGGTTCAAAAATTAAGAATTTTTGACCACAACTTTTTAAATGCCTACAAACAATTATCAATTAAAAATAATCAAAAAAATTATCAAAAATACAATCCTAAAATTTAAATAAAGGAACGGCCATCACAATATTATTAATTAACATAACAATATTACCATCAAAATTTTATTTGCCTCTAAATTAATTAACAAACTTGCAGTCTTTATCGTAATCAGCTTCCATAGTACTGTCGCATTTTGGAATTGGAACTTTATCGCCGTTTGTGAAGTAACAAAAATTAATTAACAAAAATGGAAATAAAACAAAAAAATTCATTTTATTTTTAATTAAAAAAATTTTTTTTATTTATTTAATGAACTTTTTAGAGTATTATTCTTCCTATTTATATGTACTAAAATAAAAAAATTATTGTTTACCAATTAATCAAAATTTTAATTATTTTTTAAAATTAAATTTAAGTTTCGGTTTGGATAAAAATAAAGACAGGTTTTCAAAAGTAAAAAAAATTAATTCATTAATTTAGTAACTTAAAATGTACTAAATTAATTTTTTTAATTTCTAATCTAGCAAAATATAGATATAACACTATGGTCTTTCTGGAACGAGGAAGTAGGGGAGGTTCTTGAATAGTTATTAAAGAAGAATTTTTATATTTTAAAACCAAAGTAAACACACTAAAGGCTAGTTTTATCCCCTCAATTTCGCTGTGTTATCCTTTTCCATTTTTACGTATTTCTGATTTTTATCCTCACCTACAGACCTGGAAATTTCAATAATATAAACATATATCCCTACAGTGAATTCACTTATCATTTAACAAAAATATTTTAAAAGTCAATTTTATAATACTTTAATAAAATAAAAAATTAAAATTAAAGCTCGGTTGTTGATTGCTTGGTTCAAAATAAATGTGCACCTATAAAGTCATCAGCTAAACGTAAATTTTAACTTCATTCTTCTAAATATTTTTTAAATTAAATATTTAGGCGTTCGAGCATCTGATACAGCTTTTGGTTTTAACAATTTATTTGATGTACATTTTGAAAAGTTAAATTAAGCGAAATAAATTACTGAATTAAATATTTAGATTAATTAAAAGTGTAGTAGTTCTTTTAAAGTTGTAGCAGAGGTGGGTCGGAATTCCGATTTCCGACATCACTGACTGTTCCGACTCACCTCTGAGTTGTAGCATCTATCTTAAATAGGTAGTCCCTATTATATTTTATCAAATAAAAATATTTTCGCAAAATTTTTAATAAATTCAAAAGTTAACAAATAAATGTCTAAATACATGCTCGTATTTGGTGTTGATATAAAAAAAGAATTTTTAGAAAAATAAATAAACGAATCTCAAAATTTTAAGCTTTAACGCTAAATAGGACACGCCCAAGTAGGCGCAAAGCCATAACTAGCTGGAAAATTTCTGGCCCTTATCAATTTTGGTACCAATCTCTTTAGCTCGATGGGAGGAATCGTTTAATACTAAATTTGATAAGATTCAAAATTATTGAAACAAGTTATGGCTTTGCGCCTACTTAGTTGTGCGCTTACTTGGGCTGTACCCACGCTAAATATCGGAGATATTCAAAGCGTTAGATATTATTCCCTCCATTTCTCTCTCATTCCTTCCGTAAATCCACAAGAAATCGTTTGACTAAAAAGAGACCTCCAAAATCTTTGGTTAAATTCGGCGTTTCATTTTCATTATTTTCTCGGGCTTTCCGTCACCGTTTTGCGGTGCAAAAGTGAACAAATCCATTAAATATACAATCAATTTTGCTTTCAAAATTCCTTTTTTCTTTTTGCTTTCTTTCATTTTCATGAAATCAAAATCATTTAGCCGTTTGAATATGAAAATTTTTGTTAACTAGGGGAGATATTTTATAACTCCAAAATTCTAAATTGGAAACCAAATAATGTTTAAAATTTTATTTTTAATATTCTCCTGATTTAAAGTATTCAAGGAACTGATCTTTTTGTTGAATCTATTTATCATAAGGGGATGCCCGGTAGGAGAGTCATCTTGTTTTTTGGATCTTTGAAAGGAAGAATTTTGTTTTAAACACCCTTAACTAAGATTAGCAGATCCGGATATCCGAAGATTTCCAACTATCCGCCAACCTTACCCTTAACTACAAATATTTTGGAATCTAAATATTCGTTTCTAAATTTTGTAAAAAATTTTTTGATAAATTTCAAAGATTCATTAGACAATTTCTTTCGTGTTTGACAAAAAATAATTTGAAGGAGAAATTTTTCGACGATTCAGAAAAGTCATCGACTTTTAAAACATTAAATATTCCCGAATTCCTTCTTATATTCCCCCCTTTCTTTTCTTAAATCTTTATTTGTATATTCACTTTTGCTTTCCCCATTCCAAAAAGAAAATCCATTTAAAATCCATTTATTCCCCCCTCCCTCCCCCATAATTTTCTCTTTTCTAACAGGATTTGCTCCCTTCTCTCCCTATTTTGATCTCCTTTCCCTCATTCCATTTATTTTCTTTTTAATTAAATAAATTAATTTTATTTGAAAGAGAATCTCTTCAATTATGCAATTAATAAATAAAAGATTAAATTCCCGATTTTTATTATTTTTTGTGTTGAATGCCTTTATTTTTATATTTTTGCCTTCAATAAATGCACAATTCCTCAATTCTCAATTTTCTGATTCTTCCTCTTCCACACTCAAAGTCGACCCTTTAAGGAAGGTTTTTGGTATTTGGGGAAGGTTATTGAATCGGATGGCTCAACCAAGCCCTCCAACAGACGATGAACTTCATTTAAAGGTTTTTTGAAGGAAATTAATTTGGGAATTTTCTTTCAATGTTTAAAGGGTTTGCAAGAAGGAACAGAAGAAAATGACAATTTTATTGAAGAGTCTGACTGGACTAGACGGATAGCAGGGGCTGGGGATGGAAGCAGGAAGGTACCGGCTACTGGGGCTAATCGAATAATTGATGAAGCAAAGCTTAACCAGCTTCTTCCTAGACTAAATTCTCAAAGTCCAACAACTACTGTTTCAACAACAACAGTCTCTACAACCTCCACAACCTCGAAAAATGATAGTAATAGAGCAATAGAGGAAGCAACCACAGTCAATCCAAAAAATGAAACAAAAGTTGTACCTGAACCAGAATTAAACAATAAAAATGAGTTAATTAATTCAACAATTCTGATTCCAAAATCAGAAGAGTTTAGAAAAAAGAAAACAAAGAAAAACAAAAGAAAAAGGCCTATAACAATTAATATACCCTTACTAAAACAAGCTGAAGGAGTGAATTCAGAGGGTGAGTAAGGCTTGGTTTTCACATTGTAAAATAATTTTATGAGTAGATAAAAATGTGAAATTTTGCAGAATTATTCTTAATGGTGTTGTTTAGCCTCTGTAAAAATTTTAGAATTTTTGGTCGATTATTTTGGAAGTTATTAAAGAAATTGACCAAATTTTTACATATTCTCGATTTTTTGGATTCTTGTTTCCCTAACTCGAGAAATAAAATTAAATTCTTGAATTTTTAGAGAGGTTAGATAACCACGTCAGGGATGTATATAGAAATTTCTATTTCTCTTAGAACTCGCTAGGCTATTTTACTGGGCTTTAAGTGGCAGTAGAATATTTTTAAAAATTGACAAAAATTAATTTAAAAATGAGCAATTTTTTAGAAAATTCAACAAAAATAATTTCTCCAGAAATAGAAAATGAGAATAATACACAAAAATCAACAAAAATTGAATCAGCCACAACAAATTTAGAAGGTTTATTAAAGGAAGAAGAAAGATTTTTAGTCAATGGTTCCCCCCTTCGAGTAGACCAATCAAAATCTGTTAATTTTAATGAGACTGAATTAATTGGGATTGCTAAAATGGAAAATGAAACAGCTCAATTAATTGCGGCAATAGAAAATGTTTTGGCAGATGCTGAAGTCGGGCCAAATGCTGGAGGGTATTGGCTACACGAGGCTGCTACTAGTAGTACCTCTACAACACCCATGACTACAAATACTTTGGAATTTATTAATGTGACGGCTACAAATATGTCAAAAAATACTTTAAATAATGGTATTGTTAAATTATTTTTAAATTCCAGTTTCAGTATTAACTAATTTTAATGTCCAAAATTAGGTTCCGATGCAAATTTAGTTTAATAGCTTTTTAAACGCTCGATTCCCCTTTGCGCGCAAAGAGCTACTTTATTACGGTACCTTTTCTCATTCTTAGTTTTCGACAACTCTAGATTTAAATCGGATATTTTTGTGTTCTTCTGGCAGAAGGAAAATGAAATAATATTCTAGCCATCATAAAACTGAATTTTGGAAAATTATAGACCTTTATATTACTTTTATTCGTGTATCCTTCCACCACAGATTATGTTCATTTAATCTCACCCTTTTCTTAAGCTGAAATATTACAAAATTTTTTACCGTAGTTAATCGAAAATATATTTCTAAAGATAAATTGGACAACCTTAAAAACGAAAATAAAGAAGTTATAGAAGATTCCGTCCAACAAAAATCAGGAAAAGAAGATACAAAAGAGGAGGAGGAAGAAGAATCAGAAGAAGACGAAGAAACCGAAGAAAATGATCAAGATATATTAGAAAATAAAGAAAATGTGTTAACTAATTCCACTAAAGAATTTAATAATTTAAAAACAAAAATAAACGGGGAGAATACTACGAAAAGTACAATATCAACTACAAAAATAATACCTGTAATTTCTGAAAAGTTTAGTAAAAAGAAGGAAGGAATAAAGTATATTCCAGAAGCTGAAGAAGAAGAACAGGCTGGTTAGTTATTTAAATTTTTAAAAGTCAGAATAAAAATTCCCTAGTCCGAGCGGAACGTGTCCTCTCCAATAGGGTTTGTTGTTACGGATATCCGAAGATTTCCCAGAAACCGCCAATCTAATCTTCATTCTAACTAGAGTTGCGCGAGATCGATATCTCGACCGAGACCGAGACGAGAATCTCGGTCATTTTCCAATCTCGGTCTCGGTTTTGCCGAGACGAGACCACCTAACCGAGACGAGATTCTCGGCACTTAATCTCGCCGAGATCCGAGATCAGTATACACCCCTAAAGATTGACCTTCTTGAGATTTATTTTTATTTTGACAAAATATTTAAAATTTTGCTATTGGCATATTGTTGTAACTCTTCTTAATTTAGTTGTTTAGAGCACAGGACAGGACCCTGCACAGGATTTTTCAGGATCCTGTCCGAAATCCTGCCTTTTTTCAGTATCCTGTATGAAATTTTAAAACCCAATCCTGATACAGGATCCGTGCTGAATAATTCTCACGGTTCATGATTTTTGACCCAACAATTGGGGATGTTGACTCAGTGATGGGGGAAGTTGTTCCAACAACTTTCAGCGAATTTAGTTGCGACATATTAACCAAAAATTTTGATTTTCAGCGCCGCAAGCGTAAAGAGAAATTTTGAGATTTTTTGAAAATCCCGAAATCCTGGACAGGATCCTGAAAAAAAATGACAGGATTGGCAGGATTTTCAGGATTAATCCTGCAGGATCCTGTCCTGCTTGAAATTTTAAAACCCAATCCTATTACAGGATCCTGCAAATGCGATTTTACCGACCTCTAGTCTAGAGAGCGGAGCAGGACAAATAGGAACGGCCGACCCGTAAAAAATGTACATACCAGGGATGGGCCGGGTTACCCGAAACCCGAAACCCGGACTTTTTTCGACCCGAAACCCGACCCGAGAAAATTTTGAAAACCCGACCCGAAACCCAACCCGACTTTTTTCTCAACCCGGCCCATCCCTGGTACATACCCGTAAAAAATGGAAGGTCAATAAGCCAGATTTCCTCCTTTTTCAGCGCCCTAGAGAGGGCACAGATGATTTTGATGATGATTTAGATGATATTTAATTAATTTGGTTGGGTTTTGGTGGATAAAAAAAGTTTTGAAGAATCTCGGTTTATCTCGGATCTCGATATCGGTCTCGGGTCAAATTTTGCATCTCGGTCTCGGTCTCGGTCATGCGAGTCTCGGTCAATCTCGGTCTCGGATTTTTTCTAAAATCTCGATCTCGCGCAACTCTAATTCTAACCCTATTAGTTCTCCCAGTCATGTTGATTTCTCCGCATTTTCTTGCCCGAATGGAACATGACCTTTCCAGACCATTTTCTCTTCTGCTGAAACAAAAATTAGTTTGAAAAATTTTTCCTTTAAAATAATAGCTGATATTGCATCACTTCAACTTGATTCTGTCGCAGCTCCAGCCCTTCCCGAAGCATCCAACATTAGTATAATAAATACGAGCTCTTCAATGCCAGAGACGAGTAAAACAGCTGTTCCTAATCTTTTCAATTTACCTGTAAGTGCATAAATAATATATGTATATTGTTTGATGATGTTGAGTGATACGTGTGTGATAGTGATAAATAAGATCGTCCATAACATTTTATTTTAATTTTACTTATCCCTATTTAATTTAGAACAATTCAACAATGCCCAACTTTTCAACTATGATTAAGCCTGTTAATTCAATTATTGATGGTATTGGCCCTCTAATATTGCCTTTAATTGGTTATAGTAGACAAGCTTTGGATTCATATTCTTTAAATAATAATTTGTTGCCTGGTGTGCCTTCAGTAAGACAACAAAGTGGTTAGTGAATACTGCAAATTTTTAAAATTTAATTAAATACACCCTCTCATTAATGAAAAGAAATTTAATTCAATACTGGAGACATTTCCACCAACCTTAAACTTGTGCCGAGAGTGGTAAACCTTTAAGGGGCTTAATCAATTTCATAAAATAGCAAGTTTGACTGATCTCTTTAGAACCAATGCTGGATATTAGGCAGTTAGTGATTCAGGCTCCCCTAAACCGTAGAAGAAAATAATCTATTAATTAGGGAATAAATAGACTTTGCCCTAAGAGTTTATTTTTCGAGCCAGATTACAAGCTCAATCCTAGGAATTTTTGTACTTATAAAACTTGTATTCCAACGAAGGAATAATAAACTTTAAATTTTTAAAAAGAAATACGTTCATCCCCTCAATCATTCCAACAACAACCAAAACAACAAAGAAGCTTAATCGAAGAAATATTATCACGTCCATTTGCTTCCCCACTTTTTGCTTCTCCTTTTGTTACTCAGCAAAATGAAGAAGAAAAACAAGTAAAAGAACAACAACAATCATTATTAGCTTCTGAACCTCCAAGTCTTGAATTGTTAGATAAAATAGTTGAACAGAGAAGACAGAGGGAAAATGCTGCAAATGAATTAATGATGAAACGATTGAGAGAAGTAAGGGGAATTTTGAAAAATTAAAAGACACTCAAACACTCAAAATTAGAGATCGGACCGAGACGAGATACCAAAAAAGCTTGGTTATTAAGAGAGATTTTTTTCGATATAATGATTCTCGTAAGACACTCCAGACCTGTGCCTACCCAACACCCGGTACATTTATGATAGGTTTTTTAGCTTAGGTTGGCCATTGAGTGAGAGAGGAACTTCCTATCTTATATATTAATGATAAAAGATACTAAAATAGGGATAAGATAGCCCCAAGAGAGCATCCAAAAATAAGAGTTGATTTTTACTATATGGAGAGAAAGTCTACAAGATTACAAAATGGATATTTTTGTTCATCGAGCTCTGATCACTTTAATTTGCGTATCACTTAAACTGCTCGAAAAGCACTTTCAGACGGCTTATTATATGTATATTTAGATAATTTATTCTTAATAATAGACTAACCAGTTATCAGAGAAAATATTCTTGCCTTTAATTTAATTCAAAAATACAAAATTAATTCTTTGATTTATTCTAATTTTTTCAGAATAAAGTAGTTGAGCAGAATACTGTAACAATACCTCAAACAACAACAATCATAGCTTCTCCACCTCCAGATAGCGGGTATGATAATGGACGTAGAGTTGTTCTCGACAAGTTTCATGAGGACAGTGGTGAGAACTTTGAATATTTTTCAATATTAGAGACCCCTCAATATAAGAGACTTTTCCTTGATCATTAGTTGATTGTTTGGTTTGACTAGTAGATAGTTGAGCATAATTTTTCACAAAGTGAGTAGGGTGCACGTACCTTTCGTACGACAACTAGTGCGAAGGGAACATTAATATATCTATAGTCTTTACGAATTCAAGAATTTTTATTTTTTCCGACAAATTTTATACTGAATCTTAATTTTAAAAAATTAATTTCCAAGGATTAATAAGGAAGAGCGAACAAGGACAAAAAGCACAACCTTTAGAGAGCCAAGGACCTCCACCTTCAGCACAACGACCTCAAGGATTTGGAGGGGGTAAAAGACCGAACAGTATATCCTCCCCCTTCCGATTTTTATCAAGTAAATAAATTAAATTACCTATTTATTATTGTATAATATATTTAAAATTGTTTAAAAAATATTTATAAATAAAAAAATTATGACAGAATAAATAAAGATTATTTCATTTTATTAAAAATTATTATGAGAAAGAAAGAACACTTAATCTTTAACCAAATTAGAAAAAGCTCCATGATTGAAGTTAAAAAGAACTCTCAAATAAGAACATCTCTTGTCATGATAATAATTGAATAAACCGCCTCTGTGGAATAAATGAGGAAATGAACTAATTTTAACAGTAAGCATAAAGCAAATAAACCATAAAGACAGAAAATTAATAGAAAAACTTAATGAGTAATAACTTTGTGTAAACAATGTTCATTGTTGTTATGTGGGCATGTAGGTTAGCTTTAATAAAGAAGACTCGAGACTGAGATGGCCATACTAAAATGTCCACTACCCCTGAAATAGTAGTAACATTTGTTACTATTTGTGTGGACTAAGCATAAAATTAATGACTTCCTTTATATTCCTAGGACTATGCTTTAAATAAGCATGCACATTCTCTTTATTTTACACAGCTAATGAAAAAATTATTTTTTCCTATAACCACTTATACATACTGCATGACAAAATAAAATTCTATTCTTTTATTTTCTAAATTTTATTTGATAAAATTAACAGTTTTTCATTAAAATTTATAAAAAATCAAACATTAAATAGATAAAATTTTGAGTTTTTCGATATTTTTCGATATTTGATATTTTTCGACAAATATCGATCGAAAGAATTTAAATATCGAGAATATCGACCGACCAAATAAAAATTATCGAAAAAATATCGAACGTCATTTTTGACTAAAATTTGAATTTTTGGCGTCAAAAAGGATGAATTTTAGCTCCCTGACCATCATAAATTCGAAAAAATTTTTGCCTGCGGCGCTGAAAATGGAAGAATTTTGCAACTTGACCTTCCGAGATTCTCATAAGATTGTTAGAATATCCTTTCTTATCCCCTTAATACATCATATTCCCTCGATATCCCTACAAAACACTGATATGAATTAAGAAAAATTTCGGCAGATTAAGGGAGATTTCAGTGGATTAAAAGTAATTTTATGTGATATCCGAAGGTTTGTTGAGATATTTGAATATCCAAGGAGCATGACAGATATAGTGCATATCAGAAGTAATCAACTATCTGTAGAAACAATAGAGGATTAAGTGGATAAATGGATCTCGAGGGATCAAGATGGATATTTGGGTATCCCCCCGATATCCCCCTTAATCCACAAATCCCTTGATATCCCTTCTGATCTCACAAATCCACAATATCCGTCTTACTACTTCTAAATCTCTTGTTACACACTCAGTCTTCCAATAACCCCCTTAATTCCTTAAAATCCAATATGCCTCGCTAGAATCCGTTATATCTCACTTGATTGATTGACAAATACTGCCCTTGATATTAAATTAATCCGTCCAAATCCACCAATATCCCATTTATCAATCTTAATCTCCTTAAACTATTTGGCTATTCTGTTATTCATTGGTTATAAAAAATTTTTAAAAAATCGAAAAATATCGAGACTTTTTTTTCGATATTTTTCGGTTTCGATATTTTTCGATATCGAAAAAATATCGACCGAGAAAATTTTGAGTTTTTCGATATTTTTCGATATTCGATATTTTTCGATATCTATCGAAAAAAATCGACGGACCCCTCCGTCCGGGCTCTAGTTTTGATCACTTAGGATCAAGCTTTTGTTAGAGCATTGCTTCATCTGATGATAAAGGTAATGATAGATATTTCTAATAATTAAAACATAAAGAAATTAATAACACAATTAAATTAGATGTAGTCGGATTTAGATCTGTTCGTTGAGTGTCGTTCGAGAATCGTACGAATATCTTTATCTCGATAATCCAGATCTTTATATGAGACTTCGTCTCGAGCTATTCCTAGCGTATTTTAGTTATACACTAACTATCTTATTCATTTCCCTAATGTACAAACATAATTATAAAACCTGCATTGGACCTTGGGAGATTCGGCCTAAAATTTTCTTGTTCTAAATTATTTTTAGTCTGCTTTCGCAGTCCTTTCGGACTGCTTTCGCAGTCCTTTCCAAAATTTAGAAGCTAGGCGACCAAGCCTATAACCTTGCACGCCGAAGCATGTGCTCTGCCCTCATGCGACGTCGCCGCTCACGCCTCGTAAGTTCTTGTCTGCGGTACCGTGAGCGCCGTACTCCGTCCCTCACCACAAAATACACCAACTGGAGCAGACGTGGGCGAAACGTTTCGTTTCGTTTCGTTGTTTCGTATGTTTCGTATGATTTTTACTGTTTCGTCTCGTTTCGTTACGAAACACTTTTAAATTTGTTTCGTTTCGTTTCGTTACGAAACACCTGTGATTTTTCAACGAAACGAAACAATTTTTTAAGCCTAAACTAAGGCCAAAATCTATAAAATTAACCATCTTTTATTGAAAATTAAAAAAATTTTCGCCTGCGGCGCTGAAAAAGGAAGATATCAATTACTTATATACTACAAATCCGTTTATACTCCACTCCCTAATCCGCATATACATATTACTTAATCGACGACAAATTCTATTACCGGACTCGCATCATAATTTAAAAATTGCGGATTGCGAGTTGCGGAAATACTGGAACCGGAACTTCCGGCGAAGCATTAGCTTATATCGCTCTCCTCTCGAAATGGAGATATGGAGACAATTTGGGTAGGCAATGGAGCAAGATAGTGAATTTTTTGGCCTACGGCCTTTCAAAATTTTAAAATTTTTCGTCTGCGGCGCTTAAAATAAAATTTTACTTGAAAAATATTAAATTTTATTTGAAAAAAAGCGTCGCCAAAAATTCGGCTTCGAAAATGATTGACCCCCCCCCCCCCCTTCCCCGAAAATTTTCCTTGCTACGGGCCTGGCTTATGGGACAAATTGTTGTAAATAAACCAAAAACTAAATCATTTATAAATCGTAGGCGACTAATAAAGTATTTGAGGTCGAATAATTGCGAAATAAATGAAGTTTTGAAAATTTTTTGAATATTAAAATGTTTCGTTTTGTTTCGTTTCGTTTCGTAAGATTTAGGTTGTTTCGTTTCGTTTCGTTAACGAAACGATTTTAAAAAAATTTTGTTTCGTTTCGTTTCGTCAGAAAAAAATTTTGAGTTTCGCCCAGGTCTGAACTGGAGTACGGGCAAAAAGCATCAAATATTTCGAGTATTAGTATTCATTGTACTAAATCTGGTTTTCCAGGTAAATTTGTTTAAATTAAAATTATTTAAATCATATTTTATTTCAATTATTTAATACTTTGTAAATCTATAACAGTTTAGTTTATTAGTTATTATATTTGAAATAATTAATATTTTGTAAAATCTTTAATTTAGGAAACGAATATCATCAACGGTTCAAGTAAATTTTAAATTTAATTATAATTTAATTTTTAAATTTGCAAGATTTTCTATTAAATTGTTAGAGACCTATTTTTGATTTTTATTTAAGATTAAAACGTATTTATTAAATTCATTTACTATTGATATATTCGAAAAATTTAATTTTAGATCATGATTTTTATATGTAAGATGTGGATAATTGGCTTAATTTTAAATTTTGAGCTTATTAGGGACGTCTTTATTGTAAATGTTTATTTTATCACATCTTTATTAGAAGCTCAATTATGTTTGATAGTTTGAACTGAGCTGAATCTTTTTTTATTTTTAAAAATATTTTTTAAATAATTTATCAATACAAAGCATGACGTCATAAATCTGAATTGCCACAAAAGATTTTTAGGATCCCGTTCTAGTGGGATCCTATTTTTTATTCTGCTGAATTTTTTTCTAAGAATTGCAACAAAAGAATTTCGATAAAAATACAGAAATGGAGTCCGTTTCAAAATTATAAACCACCTTACATCATGATGTTACTCCTAATTAACTGGGCAAATGAAACAAAAATTTCTTCAAAATATTTCTACAAAGTATTTTTACGATAAATTTTCGAAAAATTCGGCGTTTCAAATTAAACACCACCTCCTGTTAACGTACTAGAAATGCTATGTAGTTTCTATTTTTTTAGTCATAATTTAAAAAAAGATAAATAAATTATAAAAAACATTTAAAGTAAGCTTACGAAAATTTTCCTATACTATAACCTTACTTACAAGCATATGTAGAAAAATATACAAAAAGTAAATTTTAAAATGCATTAATGATAAAATGGAAATGTATTTAAAAATAATTTTTATAAATTTTTAATTTTGTTAATAATCATTATAATCTCCTTCAATGTTTTGATAAGAATTCGGAGCACAATAAAATTTGCCATAAGCGATGAAGTTAAAATATAAATGAGATGGTAATTTACTGTAGAACCTTAATTTTAGAGACACTGACAACAATATCCACCTAAATTTAAGATATTTAATTTAATTTAATTGTCAAATTTGTGGAGACGCTTAGGTAATACCTATTATTTTAGACACACCAAATTATAACATAACCTTTTCCAGTCCCAAGGACATACATATTTATAAGTAAGGTCCGATTGTTTTTTTGTTTCTTAATTTCCCATTGTAAAAATTTTTCTAGCAGAAGGCAAAAATTAAATGGTAGCCCCCAACACTCCCACACCCTTTCTCCTTTTTACTTTCTTTTCTCTCAACGATTAAAAATGGACAAGGATTAATTAAACTATTAATTAAGAAAAGCTCAATTACATATCAATTCGCCAAAAATATTCATTAATTTCTGTAAGGCCGGTAATTTTTACGATTCATTTGTGAATGATTATTACGTTGTTTGTTGATTTCCCGTTCATCTCTTTCCGTTATTCCTTGATATTTTTTAATAATTTTATTTGGAACATCCTCGGGGAACCAATCAGTAGAACGTCGACGTTGATAAAAGAGCATGTAAGTACAATCAGATTCACAAATTTCGTTTTGAGATTTTTCTGAAACCAAATTGTCATTAAATAAACGCCATTTTCCATCAATAAAGTTTCGAGTAGCTGCTGTGTAGTGACCTTTAAATTAATCTTTAAAAAAATTCGAGTGCTTTTTAATTTTGAGAATCGGTTAAAGAATGGAATTGTAGAATTGTCAAAATTATAGACCGCCAGAAACATGGAAACGTTTGATTTTTTGGAATAAGAAAATAATCTGAACAAGAGGTCGATCGGAAAAATTTTTCAAATTTTCGCCTACGGCGCTTAAAAAGGAATAAATTTTCCTTCATGGCCTTACAAAATTTTGACCTTCAAAATTCTTGCTTGGAGATTATGGGTTATATCAGGGGATTTGTATATCTGGGGATCGATGGGGTTAACGGATGGGATTATTTTATCTTTTGAAGTGATTGCCGACTCCCATTTTCCATCCTTAACTAGCTGGATCATGGTAACACTAAAACATACCGGAGCTAAATTGAAATCCATGATGATATATCACACAAGACAAATCATATATATTTTCATTGATACAATAAGCGCTCATATCAAGCTCTTCAGGATTATTAACAAATTTAACATTCTTTATTGTTCCTCTTCCAGACTAAAATAATAAAAGTGAATTTATTAAGGACTTGTATTGGGGGGGGGGGGGGTAAATTAGCCAATGAATCTAGTCCTTTAGCTATAGATACTTCTTTTTAAGTTGATTAATCATTAGGCCTAAGCGATATCCCTTATTTAAAGCGTATTTATGGATACAGATAACTTCAAAATGCCTACTGTATCCGTCATAAATATCCGGATACGGAAACCAAAATCCATGCTCATTATCAAGTCTTTTTTAATTACCTGATTAAAACGTTTAAGATAAAACACTAGAATATCAGGTAAATCAACGAATTTAATTTGCATTGCCCCAGAAAGATTTTTACACTTTGGACAGTTCCAGCCTTGTATAGGTTCTATTAAAAGAGAATTTATAATTAGGTGATTTTAATCAAAAACATACCAGATTTACAAAAATTATCAAGCATCGTAATTAAAGAAACTTGGGTTTGTTTTGAATTTTTATTGAACTTATTCTGTAACGAATCATTTTCATTTATTTGTTCTTTCTTTGTTTTATACTTATTTTCAAATTCTTTTTTTAAAGACAAATCCCATTCAACATTTATATGAATAACTTTTTTCGTAATTTTTTCATCATTAAAAACACTAAAAAATTATTACATTAATACATATTTATAAATTCCCAACTCTAGCAAGGGCAATTAATCGAGAGGGGGAATTATTCGAAGGAGGGGAATTAATCGAGAAAATACGGTATCCCATAAATTGAAAAAAAATTTGTGTAAGTAAATACTTATACCGGACGTTAGAGTTTTTTTCATGCCAAATAATGTTTTGTTTTCATGTTTTTTGTCTTTCATGCCAAAGATTTACATATAGAGGAAACTTGGGGAGTAAAAGGGGGTATGGAAACGAGACTATTACGGATAATTGTTTAATCACTGTTGAGAAAAATACAAATGAGAATACATGATTCGGGAATATTTATGTAGCAGGATAAAAAATTCCTTGAAATTTTAAATTTACCTGTCCACATAGTCATTCTTAAGTGGCGTTAATGTTGCAGGGTCAATATGCTTATCAGTTTGATGACAATAAACCAATCCTTTAGATTTTTGAAGGGAGCAATAGACAGATCCATTAGCAGAATTTAGTAAAACAAGTTTAAAATCGGGATTAATCTGGTAAAAAGGTTGTGGAAGAAGAAATTCTCCATCCTTCATCAAATCAAGACATAACTGATCATAAGTAATATTTCTAAACAAAAAAGACAGATATGGCTCGCCAAAACTAAAATTTTCAAAAAAATTATTTTGAAGATAATTCTTTCAAATTTACATTTTCCCATCAAAAACATAATTAACTATAGCAATAACTAATTGTTGTTCATATTGTTTATGAATTTCTCCAGGTATTCCAAGAATAGTAAAATCATTTAATTGACTATAACTTTCAAGAACTACATTATCCGGAACTATATATGATTGCCCATCTGGGTTAATTTTACATGCAACCATCTAAAAATTTTAAATTTTATTTTTAATGCCTAAATAGGATTTTGATGAAGGATCTTGAAATCATAAATTCCCGATTTTGTGAATTCCGACAAAAAGACTTGGGGAATTTCCGATGTTCAGGAATCGGGACGGCATTTTATGCGCCCAATTGCACTTTAATACGTCCAATGAAAAGTTTATACGTCCAAACAAATCTTATGCGCCAAATCACATTTTTTAAGTACCCGGTTTTGTGTGTTAAAACCTATGGTCTGGTAATATCCGTTGTATCAAAACTCTGGGTGAGTAGAGCTTTATATTCCCATAGATTTTATGGTACTAAATTGATGAACCGTGTACTTAAAATGTGATTGGACACATAAAATATTATTGGACGCATAAACTTTCCATTGGACGCATAAAAATTTGTTCGCAAGTATAAACATTTCATTGGACTTATAAAGGTTGATTGGACGTATAAAAGTACGATTGGTCGCATAAACTGGACAAGTGCCCAATCTTCTACATATATTCCAGGGTTGGCCAATTAACACGAAAAAAATTTTCTAAACAAACATTTATTGGCTTGATTTTCATAGTTTTTTCTATTGCTTCCATTATATCCTTTACAGTTATGCCAGATTCAGAAATATCAAAATGGAAACGAGTAATTTTACGTGGATTCATACAAATAAATTTTACTGTATATTTACGTGGTCTAAAAGATTTTAAATTTTTTGCAAGATTAAATTCAAATTTACAAAGGAACGCTGAGTGAAACAGACAGAAAGGGTTCAGTTGAGGTGTCAACAAAATTGCAAGTTGGAGTAGTACATATTATTTCATGACAAAATTGGCCTCTAAACAATTTTTAAAATTATAAAATAAATAAGGTATGCGGGTCTAGTATATGCGGATCTAGTCTTAGTTACATATCTTTGTCACTAAGCCGACTGTTGAAAATTGCTCTTGACTACCGTATTTACTCGATTAATTCCCCCGGGGAATTATTTTTTAATCCATCCGTGGCATGGGGAATTAATAGAGGGTGGGGAATTATTTGAGTTTTGAAATTTGAACGTGCAGTAGGGTATTTGGGGGAGGAAGATTATTGTTTAAACTCGTCCGTAGCAGGGGGAATTATTCGATAAAGGGGAGTTATTCGAGGGAGAGGAATTAATCGTGTAAATACGGTATATAAAAATTGGTCTGGTGCAGAATAAGAGTACAAACATACGGTATTCTATTCTGGTTGTCCCAGTCTAACTCTAGGATCATAGCAACAAGTGTTATCTCATTTAGCTTTTCTCGGGCAATTTGGTATGTGACTTTTAACCCAACGCTGATTCGCATTTATCGTGTTTCGCGGGAATCGAGTTCCAATGATATTTTCGTCTTCTGGGATTCTTAAGGGAATTTGGACGTATAGAAGAAAATCAAAAGAAGTTAAAAAATTTTTAAAACTTACTGAAATAATTTTAAAAGTGTAGATACTTCATTATTTTTAATCATTTTAATACTTTTGTCGAAGGTCGAGCCTTTACCAGAATTAATATCCAAATTAAAATCCAAAATTTCTCGATTAAGTTTATTTAATAACCAAATCAAACATTCATGGGTATCCTATTAAATGTTTTAAGAATAAATTTTTAAAAATTCAAAAACATGTTGATAGCCAACACAAAATGCTGGATTTTCATGGGCAATAGAATGAATAGTTTGAAGACAATAATAATCAACATAGTAATTATGATTGAACCACATATAACGAATCGTTTTGAGAAATAAGTCAAAAATACCATGCTTAAAATTAAAACAATAATTTTAATACTTAGAAGGATTGCTTTTACTGTCACCACTAGGGTTGTCGGTTCTTGGAAAATCTTCGGATATCCGAACCGAAAAATCATAGGTTCCTCGGTTCGGTTCAGAAACGACAACCCTAGTCACCACGATCTTGATCATTGAACAGCCATAACTCGGCCCAAAGTGATTTTACAAGAAAACAGATATCACTTTACGATATAAAGTCGGGGGTCTTCTATCGAATGGTGTCAAAAAAATATCAAATTCGTGTTGACAGTAAAAAATGGTTCCTTGTCATTGAGATTTTTTATTTAAATAAAAGTTAAAAATCTTTTTACCTCCCTATTATCCTCATCAAAATCTTTACAAAGTAAAAATTCAGCAAGACGGTCACAGCCAGCAAGGCTCTGCATTAAAGCATTAAAATAACAAGTGTTTCCATGATTTTTAAGTCCTAATATACATATAATAAATATTCAAAATTATTTTGTTATTAAAGACCTTTTAAACATGGAATTCCAAGTGGTTTTGGAACACATTTTTCTTCACAAATATTTTGTTCAGAGGAGTGAGTTGTCATTGTGTGTGTAGACACCACTTGATTATTTCCAGGAGTATTTTGATAGGGAGGGCATAATTTGGATTTGGGCCCATTACAATAATCCCCAAGCTCTTGGGAATCTTCATGGATAAAATTATCATTCGTATCAAAATCCATATCAGAATTAATTTGTTCAGAAGGGCGTGTTGTTACTGTGTCTGGAAGTTTTCCATCGACAAAATGAGGTTTCAGTTGGCTTTTCTCCCGTTTAGAATCAGCAAATTGGTTTGACCCAACCTTCCTCGTATGTGTTGTTTGAAATTGTGATCTCATAGAATACCCACTATTCTTCTGAGATCCTTTTGGTGGCGTAGCAGAACGATGTTCGTTAGTATCATTTGCAGAAACCATTTCGATATCTTCAGTCTGATAAGTTTCTCCAGATGTCTGGGTTAAATTTAAAGAGGAATTCGATGGATGTTTGATAAGAGAAACAACCTCAGACTTCTTTCCTGTGATAAATTAAAATTGAGTAGGCAATGAAGGGAATCTTTTAATATGGAAAAATTAGAACCTGAATTATTTGTACGATGATTATGAGGCATAGACCCAGAATTTTTTCTTGGGCCAAAGAGTTTGACAGGTGACTTCTTATTGGTTATAGAACCTTAAACAGAATTAAATTTTTATAATTAACAGGAATGAGATAAGTATGTATATCACCCAAAACCTTGGATATGAAAAGTAATTAATTAAAAAATTTTTGAGGATATTTTTCTAAAATTGATAATTATAAATGCAAATTTTAATTATTTAGTCTAAGCAAAAACACAATATTTTTGAAGGAGTGTGCCAAAATCGTTTTAAAACAATAAATTTTGAATGTGAGACTTGAAACTAAAAAATTAAGGACGGAAAAAATAAAATTAAAAATATGAAAGATCTAATAAAAGGTCCGGCTAATATGTCATAACAAGCAGAGCCAAGTTTAGAAAAGATAAAATGCTAAGAAAATTGCGGTCACTCCAAACGATAGGAGTGCCATAGAAACAATAAAATTACCATTTGATGCTGACAATTTATCAGAATTCCGTTTAATATTATTGTTTAGGTTAGAGTTATCTGAACAATTGAGTATGTCATGATCAGAAGCATTTGATGAATTATCAATGGAATTTAAAAGTTTCATTTTAACATTGAAAACTTCTAATGCTATTTCAAAGTCCTCTTGACTTTTAAATTGTGAACGAAAGGGAAAGTCCATAGTCCCGGACATGTCAATAAAGAATTAATCTAAAAAATATAAATCAGCTTTATCATAAATAGGCGTTATCGCCTACGCACATACATACAACCTAAAGATAAAAATTTTTAAATGACTATATAAAGCTCTCATAAAGGTCGGACTATATTTAAATTTTATAATGATATGTACAAAATATTTAAAAAAAATTGTGAAAATGAGAAATTTTATTTAAAATAATTTTACTTAAATAGAGTTACTACTCTCATTTGTAGATTGCCTGTCTGAAAAAATATTTTCAGGTCGACGTTAAACTATGAAGAATGTCACAGAGGGAATAAAAATAATCTTTTCTCAATAAATAGAGGAAAAATATTTAAAACTATTTGAACTTGTTGACCTACACATTGAAGGTCCCTCCCTATTTTTGAACAGAAAACAGAAATGACGAAGGTAACAGAAATTGGAACTGAAATTAAAAAAATAAATCGGTAATTAGCCTAAATTTTGGAAGTTAGAAATGCCAAACGGCAAAATTCCACAGAAAAAATTGAATTTAGGGTATAATTAGTAATTATACCCTAAATTCAAAATTAAGGTATAATTTCAGAATACAAACGGAACGATTTAGTACAAATTATATGTTATTCGAGAGAGTTTGTCGAACCTTTTTTCAACAAAATTTTTTATTTCTTTACAACTATAAAAAGAGGATCTGAGGGGATTAAAGGAGATAATGAGGGAGTATATCGGTGGATTTGGAGGGATATCGAGGGATAAGATGGATATCTGTGTATCAGTCAATTAAAAGCTGCTGAATAATTTAAAAATAAATATAAAGTAAAAAAATTTATTTTAATAAAATTAATATTCTAAGATTGCCTACATACATATTTAAAATATTTCTAAAAATATCAAAAAATTATTTAAATGGATAAATATAGACAAAAAAATTTTTTTGTTTAAGTTTATAAATATTCATGATCTAAAAATGCTTATAAAAAGGTTTTTTTAAAAGTGCTTTTCAAAAACTTTTTAAAAAATATTTTTAAAAATTATAAAAAAATGTTATTAAAAAATAAAATTAAAATTATTTTCTGTTTGTTTTTAATTTTTAATTTAAATTAGGGTTGCGCCCCGAGCCTTCGGGGTTGAAAAAGTCGGGGGTCGGGGTTTTCGGGGTTGACAAAGTCGGGGTCGGGGTCGGGGTTGCTCAAATTGTTCGGGGTCGGGGTCGGGGCTGAAAATGATGTCGGGGTTCGGGGTCGGGGGTCGGGGTTGAAGTAAAAATTTACAAAATCCAGCATTTTTATCCAACATTACTGTTCAAAATCAACATTTTCATTAAAAAATGAGAATGTTGTGACTTATAGGGGTTTTTTTTGGCTGGACCGATTTGGTCAAATGAGGTGTCATTCGAAAGAGCTCGCC